ATCCATCCATCATCATCATCCATCCATCCATCCATCCATCATCATCATCATCGTCATCATCATCATCATCATCATCAATCATCATCATCATCATCATCAATTTTCAAACTTTTCTTTTTTTCTCAAATGAAATACTTGAAAATTTATAATTTACTTTTTTAAATTAGACAAGTTATTTTAAATATGAATTAACAACAACAATTGCTAGTACTATTACAGTATTATTACAGCTACTACCATTACCACTGCTACAATAACAACGACAACAACTACTATTGCTACTATCGTTACTACTATTACTGCTGCTACTACTACCACACCTGCTATTATCACAATAACTACAATTACAACAACTACTATAACAATAACAGTTATTACTATTACTACCATTACTACTACTAGCACAACAGCAACCAATACTATTACCACAACAACAATAACAACAACAACAACTACTACTACTACTACTATTACTACTACTGTTACTGCAATAGCAATAACAACTACTGCTACTACAACTACAACTACAACAACAACTACTACTACCACTACCACTATTACTACTACTCCTACTACCATATCTGTTACTACAACTACAACTACAATAATAACAACTACTACCACTACCACTATTACTACTACTACTACTACTACTACCATATCTGTTACTACAACTACAACTACAACAATAACAACAACAACAACTACTGCTACTACCATTATCACTATTACTACTACTACTACTACTACCAGTACTACTATCACATCTGCTACTACTACCACAATAACTACAATTACAACTACAACAACAACATTTACTACTACTACTACCACTACTACTATACTACTACTAGTACAGCGGCAACTACTACTACTACCACAACAACAACTATTACTACTACTACTGCTATTGCTACAATAGCAATAACAAACAACTACCGCTACTACAACTACAACTACAACTACAACTACAACAGGAGTTATTACTACAACAATAATAACAACAACAAACAACTACTACTATAACAATAGCAACAACAACTATTTTATTACATTAATAATGGTTATTTGAAACAATAAAAACAATATGAAATGGAAAAGTTGAAAAATTTTCCAACATTTGACGTTTTGCAAAAATAGTAAAACTTGACAGATTTTAAGCGAACAAATTTCTCTTCTTACGTAATACACATACACACACATACGCACACACACATATACACACAGACACACATATACACATACACATACATATATACATAGATACACACACATACACATACATACATACACAGATACACACACACACACACACACACATACACATAAGTATTTAAACGTATATAATCGGGAGAGATGTTAACAAAATGAATGAATAATAAGCATCGAAAGATGTGGACAGAAAGATATAAGCAAGCAGTCGTAAATTTTCAATGAAAAGTATAAAAATACGTGTCTGCTTATCTGTTTATCTGTCTGTATCTGTTTATACATACATATATGTGTGTGTGTGTGTATGTGTG